TTGGGGGGTTGGTTTGTTTACCAATAATGCCTCTGTTATTCTTTTTGTTGTTGTTATTCTTTTAAAAATATGTTCTTCTGTTATTTTAATGAAGAAGGTAAATGCTTTATCTGCAAAATACATGTGCATCATCTGCCATCTGGAACCTGAGGCCTCTGAATTGGGTCTTGAAGGATCAATAGAAGTTTACCAGGCAGTGTGTGTTGCAGGGTTGGGGTGAAGATTTTGGAGGAACATCGGACATTAGAGGCCAAGGGAAGTGTGTTCAAAGGCACAGAATAATACGGGGACCTAAAGTGTTTGAGGAAGGCCAAGAAATTAGTTAGGACCTTGCTTTGTACATGTGCTCATTCTGACAGTCTGCCAGAGTCGTTAGATACTGAGTTTGAACCCTACCCGTGTGTTCACCCAACTTACAGAACCACATGAGGGCATCCGCTAGAACTGTGGGCTCTGTCTCTCTTAGATGCCCCTGTTTGTGAAGGAAGTTGTAAGCAGGTTGTCGCCAGCTTGAGCAGAAGCCAGAGAGCTTGGTAGCTGAATATCTAGACTGTCAGCATAGTGACATCAGAGTCACCGAGGACAATGGCTCCACACCTTCTGGTTTCAAAGGGATTCACCTTGGTAGAGTCAGGAATTGCAAAAATTCCAGTCCTAGAGAGCCAAGGGCAAGAGGCCTCTTTGGGATGTATCAGAATTCAGTAGCAGGCAGCCCAAGAGAGAAGGACCAGAGTCACCTGAGGGAACCTTGGGAGGGTAGATTTGTTTTAGACACGAAGAAGTTCTGTCTACTTCTAGTCAAAATTCTGAATGTCCCTCAAAGGTATACTGATTTTACAAAAGCCATCCTCACTTTGCAGAATGGTTCCCCAGATGAGTTCTTTAAATAAGATAGATTTATGTTAAGATTTGATTTATACACAACCTACCAAGAATATACCCTCTGTGAAGTACGAGGTAAATATATAATGATTTCCTACTGATGCTTCTTGAGAAGGGGGGCATGTGATTTTCTGCATGTCTGGTTTTCAAAAACTGGTTTGCCACCCACGAGATGTTTTCTTCCTCACCGTCTGGGATACAAAGGTTATGGCATACAAGCTGACTCAATACTCATATTGATGTCACCAGAGCCAAGTGAAAAATATGTAGCTCTCAGGATCAAAATAAAAATGTTTCCCTAATAAAATTGCTATTGCTATGGCTCATTTTTAGTCACATTATTTTATTATTTTATATAGCCCTTGCTATATGTCAGGCACTGTTCTAAATACGTTACTAAAATTAACTCATTTAATTCTCAATAACCAGTGAGGTAGTACAATACCTCCATTTAACAGATGAGGAAACTCAGGGGCAGAATGGTGAAGAAACTTACCCCACAGTTTCAAATAAAACATTTTGTGTATATCCAAAGGATGACATGGGTTAAAACAGGTTGAGGAAAACAGATTAAGGGTGAGATGTGGTTGGTGTGTTTCCAGGCTAACGACTAGGAACTTTCTTTTTTTTTTTTTCTTTCTTTTTTTTTAATACAAGAAATTTTTTTTTAATTCTTTTTTTAATTTGTTTTTAAAAATTTTTGGCTGTGTTGGGTCTTCCTTGCTGCGCCCAGGCTTTCTCTAGTTGCGGCGAGCGGGGGCTACTCTTCGTTGCGGTGTGCGGGCTTCTCATTGTTGTGGCTTCTCTTGCTGCGGAGCACGGGCTCTAGGTGCACAGGCTTCACTAGTTGTGGCACGTGGGTTCAGTAGTTGTGGCGCTCGGGCTTAGTTGCTCCACGGCATGCAGGATCTTCCCAGGCTAGGGCTCGAACCCGTGTCCCCTGCATTGGCAGGCGGATTCTTAACCACTGCGCCACTAGGGAAGCCCAGGAACTTTTAATAACAGTTCTAAAGTCTAGGTGTGTGTATCCCTGTTACAGAGGTAGCAGTGAGTCTCAAAGATCCAGGTCTGACTCACAGTGGGCCCCCACTCACTATGGAGTATTAAGCAAGTCCCTGGTTGTCTGGGGGCCTCAGTTATTCATCTGGGCCATGGGGATTGGGAGGTATGTCAATTAGCTATTGCTTTGTAATAAACCAACCCCCAAATTAGTGATTTAAACAACCATTTATTATTCTGAGTCTGTTGGTTGGCTAGGTTCACTCATGTATCTGCATTCAAGTGGCTCTGCTCATCTTGGCTGGGCTCTCACCTGTGTAAGGGCCTGAGCGGGGACAACTGGCTGAGGTTCTACTCCACATGGCCTCATCCTCAGGAAGGCTAGCTTGGACTTCTTCTCATGGCAGTGGCAGGGTTCCAGGAGAGAGAAAGAAAACAATTCTCTTGCAGCTTAGGCTCAAAACTAACACAACATCCCGTGCACTGCATTCTGATCGTTAAAGCAAGTCAAAGTTCAGCCCAGATTTACAGGGGGTGGGGAAATAGCTCCCTTCTGAAGGGAGGAGCTCTTTGCAAAGAGCGGAGACATAGAAAGCTGTGGTATTGGAATCGTTTGCCATAGGAGACAAACTCTCCCCTCCCTCTGGGGAGAGTGTAAGAGTAGGGGGCCTCTGAGGTGGTTGGGGAGCTCAGTCAGCTGAGGTCAAAGACCTGTCAGTGCTTTGAAATTATAAAATGCCCCACAGGTAGTGCTTCTGAGTGTGGTATCCTATGTCACTTGTGGAACTGTGAGTTCCTTGGAGCCAGGCTGTGCCCTGCTCCTGCCCTCCCCTTCTGTGTTGAGGAAAGGCTCACAGAAGTGAAAGAAAACAAAGCAGGGCAGTTACTGAGAACAGGGGCACACTCCCTCTTCTCACCCCCAGAACAAAGACAGGGTTCAAACCCTCTGGAATCTGAGAAGCTTCCTCCCCTTCTGCAAGCTCTACCCCTCATCCCTTCTGCCCTGCCCCCACCTCCAACTGAACTTGGCAAGGTATTTACCTGTCTTCCCACTTGACAGCTGAGGATACATAAGGATGACTTGCTCAAGGTCACCAGCTAGTGGGGGAGAACCCTGATACTGCTCAGGAAACCCACCAGGGCCTGCTTGAGCGACTGCAAATACAAGTAACTCTAGTTTACACACACCACCTGAGGGCAGGCAAGTGCTGTTTTGTCTCGAGGAATGGTGTGGTGTTGAATTACAGATGCTTTTCTGGTAACACAGGTGGAGCCCTGGAAACCCCAGCCCCACTGGAACCCCACATCCGCCTGCTCTTCCATTCCACGGTCTCTGCCTCCAGCTTTCCTCTCCCCGTCCTCCTCCACATTGCCTTTCCAAAACATTTGTGTCACATCTCTGTTTAAAATAATGAGTCAATGTTTATTGAGCTCTTACAATGGACCAGGTGCTGTTCTAACCTCATTTAATTAGCTGAATTGACTCTTTTGAATTAACTTCCCTTGAATTAACTCATGTAATCTTCACAGTTCTATGAAGCAGTCACTATGATTATCTCCTATTTTGCAGATAAGGAAACTGAGGCACAAGAGGTTAAAGTGATTTACTGAAGGTTACACAGTAAGTGGCAAAGTTAGGATTTGAACTCAGGGAGTCTGGTTCCTGAGCTTGGGCTTCTCAGGTCAAAAAACCCCTCTCTGTAGGTCTCTAATAATAACAACAACAATAATATACTGACTAACATGCATGGATTGCTTTCTATAGGCTAGTCCCAGTTCTGGCTGCATTTCATGTGTTAGCTCATTTGGTTCTTACAATAGTACTAGAGAATTGGCCCGGGGGCGGGGGTACTATTATCCTCATTTTACAGGTAAGGAAACTGGGGCACAGTCACACAACAAGGATGGGTTACCAGACACTCCAGCTCCAGAGGCAAACTTTAAACCACTGTGCTATCTGGCTTTCCCAAGGGCTATTCAGCCTAAGGGCCCAGCATCCAAGGCTTTTTGGATTCATGCCACATGATCTCTGCATTTCCACCAAAGCATGTCTTTTGTTTCTTGGTCTATGCATGTTTTTTCCTTCTCAACCAGACCTTGAGCTCCATAAGGCCTGATTGAAGATCTGGTACCTCCTTCAGTTTCCCCAGCTCACAGCAAGGATCTCACAGACTCCTCCTAACAATCTTGCGAGGTAGGCATTCATCCTTTTACGGGAAAAGGCATGGATTCAAAGAGGTAAAGACAGAACTGGATGGACAGCAGTGTTTCAGCAGACAGAGTTTTCCAGCCACAGAGCACTTTCCCACATCCCATCCCACAAAGCCTCACTTCCAGGGGCAGTAATGGTAGTACTGCTTGATGGTTAAGAGCAATGGTTTAGGATCGGACCTGAGTTTGAATCCCCACTCAGCCACCTCTGTGACCCACAGAAGTCATTTAACCCCTCTTGTCCTCAGTTACCTTATCTGTAAATGAGGATAATAAAAATGCTTTCCTCATAGGTCTGTTGGGAGGACAAATGAAATAAAGCACATAAAGTCCTGTGAGAAAGGCCTAGATGGGAGAAATATTATGTGTGTGTATATATAATCCATCCACCCCACTAATGAAGAGTGTCAGGTCCCCAGACAGAAGCAGTTCTTTCTGTTTCCTGAGTGTGAAATCCAGGAGGGCCCAGGACTGGAAATGAGTGACCCTGGGAAGGTCAGTCTGTGGGAGGTGGCTGAGCAAAAGGACAAGTGACGGGTATTCTGGCCATGAAGAAGAGTCCAGGGAGGGAGACACCGGGTCCCACGGTGGGGGAGGAGAGGGGGCACCAGGTGGGCTCCCTGAGAGGAACATCCTGTGCCCATCTCTGCCTGGCACCTCAAAGCCCCACGCAGGGGAGAGGTGGGTGCCCTGTGATGCACCGCCCAACCCAAGGTTCTCCAAGGAAGATGCTGCTAAACTGTTTGCGGGGATTAAACAGGTCCGGGAGCTCAGCCTATCGCTGCTCTCCGTCCTATTACCCGCAGGGGCTCCGGCTGGACTGCATCTTCCGGGAGTTGGGGCTCTCGGGTGCGCAGGGCAGAGGTCGGGCCAGACGGGGGCGGCGAACCGCTGCTACGCTCGAGCTTCCGAGGGCGCCCAAGGGAATCGGGTGCTCCTCCCGCTCCGCCTGGCCCAATGCGTGAGGACTTGCGGAGCAGTCCTAGCCGAGCTGCCGCGCTTGACCTTGACGGCTGCGCTTTACCGGCCTCTGGCCGGCTGCCAGGCAACAGCGCCCCGCCCCGCGGGTCTGCGGCTGCGGCACCGCCCCTCCCTCCCTCCAGCGGAGGCGGGCGCTGGATCCTAGGTTGATCCAGGCCGGGTTTTGCGGCGGAGTCCGCGCGTGCTGATTCCTCTTCGGTTGCCCTCGGCAGCGGTCGGCGGCGGGAGACCATGGTGCTGGAGGAACTGTGGGCCGCGCTCTCCGGCTCCTCCGGGGCTACCCTGGCTTGCTGCTTGGTGGCGGCGGCCTTGGCCCTGCGCTGGTCCAGTCACCGGACGGCGCGGGGCGCGGCGGCCCGGGCACGACAGAGGCAGCAAGCGGCCCTGGAGACCATGGACAAGGCGGCGCAGCGCTTCCGTCTCCAGGTGATGGCCGGGGTTGGAATCGGGGTCAGGGGGAGGGCCTGGGGTGGCGGCAGCACTTTTAGCCGCCCGGCCGCGCGGAGGGGCGAGCGGCGGGCAGCGGGCAGCGCAGGTTCGTAACTCCCCGAAACTCCTCTCGCCGTAATGCATTCCGTACTCTTTCTGAGCCAGATGGGGCCTAGGGGAGGAAGGGAAACGAAAGGAACTGGGCAGGCTGTCGAAGGCTGTCGCGCACTGGGTCAAAGAGGAGCTTTGCTCTGGTGCCAAAGAATCTCAAGATCACTATTAGGACTCTAAAACGCAAGTGTGAGAACCAATAGGATGCTCGGGTTGAGGACTTTGGAATCATAAAGTGATGGCCAAGGGCATCTGGAGAGCTTACAGTTCAAACTCATTGATATGTGCTTGGGGATGCTAAGAGGGAGCTGGGGAGGGACTTGCCCAAGTCCACAGAGAGTTACTGGCGGAGCTGGACCCCTGCCACCTAGGCTGTCGAGTCTGATGGGTTATAACCCTTTGCATGAATAGGTTTAGGTGGGTGATCTGTCAACAAGATTTTCTCCTCTGGATCAGCTCAGTGTGTGTATGGGGGCGAGGGAGAGGCCTAGAAGGGGAGGCTTTCTTTCCCTCCAGATGTGTGACACACTGGACCCAGTTCCAAGTCAAAATGCTGAACTCAGGTCTTATGTGCTGAGGGAGGGAAGACTTGCCCCGAGTGTTTGATAGGATTTGGATCTGACAGGTGGGAAGGCATTCCGGATAATGGGACAGCACGAGGCAGGAGCTGGAACTAGAACCCAGATGCCTGGTGGGACCATCCAGCCTCATTCCGCTGGAGAGGAGCAGGGGAGAAAGATTAGGAAGAGAGACCCTGGCCTTGAATGCCAGGCCCTGGGTATGGCCTTGATGTCCGTGAGGTTTTAGCTGGATGTAATGGTATGGATTCACTCCACACCATTCCTGGACCAGGAAATGTCATATTTGTTTATTTATTGAAATAAAAATGTATCTGGTTCCAGCCTTCACTCATCAAGCTGGCTGAAAAGTACACAATCAGTCAGTTTTTAGGTATTCCATCCAAACTGGTCACTTTCCCTACTTGGGCACAGGTTTATCACTGTCTGATCCTCCTTCTCTGGCTGACCTCCTTGGTGCCCCGCTCAGGGATCCTTGCAGTGATGCCAGGCTCAGCCTGGAGACCCTCGGCTGCTCCCGAGGCTCCAGGTCCTGTGCAGCTGGCTAGCTGAGTTCTGCCAGCGCCGAGGGCTGTGTGGAGGCAGCTGTAAGAATCTGTCCACAGTTTGTGCCTACAGGACTCCCGTCCAGGTTGCAAGGAACCCACCAGCTGGTAGGGGTGTGGGGTGGTAGAAGGGTGGGTCTTCCCTCACTTCAACTCCAAGCATCAGCATCTACACAGTTTCCTTCTGGAGCAACAGCCTTTCATTATTTTTAAGAACTGACTCTTCAAGGGTAGAAACTTTGGCCCTGAAATACCAAAAGCTGTTGAAACAGCCTGCACGGGGCAGAGCCTGGCCTCGGAACACCAAAACTTGGCTCTTGCAGATGGGAAAGCAGGGAAATCACCTTTTGGTTTTCCAGTGACTGGGAGAAGAGAGGGAGAACTATCTTAGGAGCCTCAATGTGTTGAGCAATCAGCAAAGAAGACAAAGATATTGTCTTCATGACAATAGCTTTGGGAATGGGTAGGAGGTGGGCAGTTTAGCTGAGCTCATCCAGGGCCTTGGGAAGGGGCCCAGGGTTAGTAGGGCCCTGGAAGAATACAGCAGCTTATAGTACAGCTCCTGCCTGATAGACAGCAGGAAAGCTAGTTGGGACCCAGATACTTCCTGTGTCCTGAGGCGTTGCTGGAGGAGGAGGAGTACTAAGCACCTCCTGAACATTGCAAGATGGTTCATCTTTCTCTGGACTCTAGAGCAACTTTAGAGTGAGGCGTATTTCTTGTATTTTCTGTTGACCGCATGAAGCTTAACCTGTAACATGCCCATTTGTTGCATTTGTTTCCACCTTGCCCCCTGAATGAGTTTCAATATCCTTTCTGGACTGAAGAGAGAGACCACCATTGACAGAATATTATGGCTGGGAGAGCCATCCCAGAACACCTGCTTATCCCTCTGAGCCTCCGCACCTGTAGTTTTATCCTGAATGCCCTTCCCACACATCCCTTACAAGCCCTTTTGTCAAAATTCCACTGGATTACAAATGCCACTTCCTTCAACTGGATCTGACCTGTAGTTCCATCTCCTGGCGTCTCCAAGACCAACCTGAAGCTGATTTTAAAACAAAACAATTCAATGAATAACGCAAAGAACAGTATGGTTTTTGTTTCGATCAGTATCAGTAGCCTACATGATCAAATGGAAGAGATATCTTGAAATAGGACAAAAGCGATAAAAAAAAAAACCCCATGAGTGAAAATAAAAAAGACTTGGAGGACAATCGAGGATACCTGAAATTAGGACAGTAGGTGGTTCAGAAGGAGAAAAACAGATGGAGGAGGGGCAGTGATTCAATGATAGCTATAGTATCTTTTGCTTGAAAAAGTAGGCATACAGATGGCCACATGCTTGGTGAGACGTTATTTGTACACTTCCCTGCATTCTCCATACTAATTTTTTAAAAATTAATTTATTTATTTTTGGCTGCGTTGGGTCTTCCTTGCTGTGCGCGGGCTTTCTCTAGTTGCGGCGAGTGGGGCCTACTCTTTGTTGCGGTGCGCGGGCTTCTCACTGCGGTGGCTTCTCTTGCTGTGGAGCACAGGCTCTAGGCGCGCGGGCTTCAGTAGTTGCGGCATGTGGGCTCAGTAGTTGTGGCGCACGGGCTTCGCTGCTCTGTGGCATGTGGGATCTTCCCAGACCAGGGCTCAAACCCGTGTCCCCTGCATTGGCAGGTGGATTCTCAACCACTGCGCCACCAGGGAAGCCCCACATTGTGGGTTTTTCACAGACATTTTTTTTTTTCCTGTGAGGTTTCATCAGAAACTGTTAACTATGGTTTCCTTTTCAGAAGAGGGACGTCCGGGCAGGGTGGCCCTAGAGGTGGGGGGAAATGTTCACTTTTCATTCTGTATACCTTTAAAAAAGTACGTCACTAGGGGTTGTCTCGTGTGTTGGTGGGGAGATCATGGATCCATTTTTCTTTTTTTCCTTCCCTGTAGCTGCCTGTATTATTTAAAAAAAAAAAAAATCCCAAGTGAGTGTTGAATCCATTTAACAAATTCAGGGAAGAGGTGGAATGTTCCTGATATTGAGGCCAGGCTTCAAAGGCTGTGTGGTGGGTGTGTGTGGTGGGCGTTCAGCTCTGGGCGTGTGGTGGGTGTGAGGGGGCCATGTTGCACTGAGGGGGTTCAGGGGAGTCTGACAGGACCACGGCCTGGAAGCATCTCCTGGAGCTTGTGGTGTGAAGGGGACTTTAAGGGGAGAGGCAAGGTGGGCTTGGACATTGCACTGTCTGGCCTGGCCACAAAGCTTGGGCGGGGCAGCCGGTTGGGTGGCCCCTGTCTGACCCAGGAGAGAAAGGATGTGCACTGGCAAGGGTCTTGGTAGAGGGGACAGAGAGGTGGCCATTTGCCAGAGCTACTTAGGGGGCTTGGTGATTGGATATGGGTGGGGGGGGGGGAGTGGAAGACGGAGGGCAGCGTCCTTCCCTGAGGGAAGAGGAGCCAGTGGAGAGGGGTGGGGAGGCACAGAGCTCAGGGGAATGACACAGGGACAGAGGGAGGAAAGGGAGTAGCCCAGCGAGTAGGTCTGAGCTCAGCTGGGTCAGTCGAAGGACGATGATCTGGAGGCTGTGAGATAGGCAGAGGGCCTGCAGTGGAAGCCATGAGAAGGAGTGACTTCTCCCAGCATCAGAGAGGGAAGAAGAGGTGCCAGAGGAACCTCCAGGAGCCTCTGTCTCTCCCCGCGTCTGGCTCCTTCTCATGCTTCAGATCACATCTGAAATGTCACCACCACCTACCCAGCCCATCTGAGTCATTCCTCTGTTCTTTCTGTCACAGGCTCCGTTTATCCTTTCTCACACTTGCCATGATCTGTCCATTCTTTGTTAACTTATTTTCTTTCTTTAAAAAATATTTTTTTTCTTTTATTCTTTTTCAAATTATTTTCCCAATTAACTTGTTTGTTTTCTTGAAGGTAAGCTCTGAAAGCAGAGACTTGTCTGTCTTGGTTATCTCTAAATTCACAGCCCTAGCTAGTCCTCAGCACATAGTAGATGCTCAGAACCTGTGTGTTGACTGAATGAGCGGATGACAGAAGGAGTGGAGAGGTGGGAGGGAGCCCCGGGGAGCGGGGTATGTCTGTGCCCAGAGGAAACTGAAGCGAGCCCTCTGAATGCCTCCATGAGACTTGGAGCAGAATGAACAGAGTCAAATGTTTGTTGTATTCGGCAACAAGGAAGTCCCTGGTGACTTTGGCAGGAGCAGAGGAGGGTAGAGATGAGATGTGGTGCCTGCAACTCAGATGTCCTCCTAGCCCTATTTACTAATTAGCCCAATACCCTCGAGGGGGAAGCCAGCGGATGTTTGCAGGCAGGGGCTGACTCCAGAGACTCCGGGGGCCTTCGAGGCCTGGCAGTAGGTGTCTGATCAAACATCCCTTCTCCTTCAGAGAGCTCTTCCCTGACCACCCTCTACCTGTGTGCCGCCCACTCACTGTATCCATTTTATTTTCTTTATTTCTTGCTATCTAAAATTCTTATTTACTTATGAATTATCTGCTCATCCCCAACTCCGCACCTTGTGTAAGCTCCCCCAAAGCCTGGATGTGACTTTTTTGTTCACTGCTGTATCCCCTTGCCTAGCATGGTGCCTGCTACGGAATAGGTGCCTAATGAATATCTATGGACTGAACAAAAAAACCCTCTCATTTGGATGTGGCTCCAGCTCCAACCCTAACCACGCAGGACGGGGTTTTCTTATTTCTGCCCTCCCCTGACAAGGTGTTGAGTAGTTAGGTGCAGGTGGACAGCCAGTGGTCAGCCCATGCTGAATGGGCAGAGAACTATAGTTTATCTGTAAGTCCTAGGCAAGGCACTTCCCCTTGCTGAGCCTCAGTTTCTTTAGCTGTGCAATGGGAATGGTAGTAAGATTTCATCCAAACATGGAGCACATTGGCATGGTGCCTGGCACGCAGTAGGTAGTCATTGGTGGTCCCTGTTAGTAATGGTCTAATGATCAGCCTGGGCATGGCCTCTCCCTGGACCCCTCTCAGGTAAGCTTCTTGAAGAGATAGATCTGTATTTTCTACAGGTGGCAAGGGCCTGCCCAGGCTGGACCACATTTGTGGTGTCAGAGCTGTGGGTGGGCACATCTGTCACGGGTTGGCAGGTGACAGCACATGCTTGGTAGGTGTGGGGATTTGGGGGCATGGGCCGCTCGTGTCAGCTGCAGGCACATGGAGCCTGCGGGGGAGTAGGGGACTGACCCGAGGTGTCTCCCCAGAACCCTGACCTGGACTCAGAGGCACTGCTGGCCCTGCCTCTGCCTCAACTGGTACAGAAGCTGCACAGTGGGGAGCTGTCTCCGGAGGCTGTGCTCTTCACCTACTTGGGAAAGGTAAAGCCTGGGAGTGACCCTGCTCCTTCCTCCACTTTCTCTGCAAGGCTGGGGGGAAAACCTGGCCTGGACTTTGTCCCACTGAGGACCCTGGTGGGATCACAGTGCCAGGGAGGTACTGTGTGTGTGTGTGTGTGTGTGTGTGTGTGTGTGTGTGTGTGTGTGAGAGAGAGAGAGAGAGAGAGAGAAGAGAGAAAATGGCTCTGTGTGTGTATTGGGGGATGGGGGGAGGGGCGGGGGGGTGGATACTGAGCATGTTGTCTTAGCTAGAAACCTGGCTTTTAGCCCAGACTTCCCTCTCCCTTCTGCCCCCACCCCATCAGTCACCAAGTCTGGTCTGGTCCCTTCCTATAGCTGTCTCTAGTCCATCCCCTTGTCTCCCCCTCTTCAGCCACCCTGGTCCTCCACCACCATCTCCCTCTGGGACCAAGCGCCAGCCTCCTGGCCAGGTGCCCCCTCAGCTCTTCAGCGTCCTCTCTGGCCAAGGCCTTCTGTAGCTTGGGGCATCAGCGGCTCAGCTGCTGGCAGTTCCCTGGCACCCAGCGCCTGCACTGGGGTTCCTTTTACCTGCGAGGCTCTTCTCCTCCTTGCCCTGCTCAGTGCAACAGGCTCCCCCGGAAGAGCTTTCAGGGCTCAGAGAGGAGTCTCTGGAGTCTTCCAGGAAGCCTCCCAGGACCCTCCTCCCTTCCCAGCCTGAGTTAGGGTTTCCTCTTCAGTGTTCACTTTCTAACAGCACGTTTCTCATCGCATTGTAGGGCTTGCCTTGTCTTTCTCTTTCCCAAGGCAAATGTGGGCTTTTGGTGGACAGTCTTATTTGTCTTTGCACCTTATTGCTGAACGCTATGTCTTTTATATAGTAAGTGCTCAAGAAGTGTGTTTGAAACAAAATGAAAGAAGGAAATGTGCTTTGTGAGTGTGACTTGTCTATATATGCCATAGCATTTTTTTTAAACATCTTCATTGGAGTATAATTGCTTTACAATTTTGTGTTAGTTTCTGCTGTATAACAAAGTGAATCAGCTATATGTATACATATATCCCCATATCCCCTCCCTCTTACGTCTCCCTCCCACCCTCCCTATCCCACCCCTCTAGGTGGTCACAAAGCACCGAGCTGATCTCCCTGTGAGATGCAGCTGCTTCCCACTAGCTAGCTGTTTTACATTTGGTAGTGTATATATGTCCATGCCACTCTCTCACTTCGTCCCAGCTTACCCTTCCCCCTCCCCATGTCCTCAAGTCCATTCTCAACTGCGTCTTTGTTCCTGTCCTGCCCCTAGGTTCTTCAGAACCATTTTCTTTTTTAAGATTCTGTATATATGTGTTAGCATATGGTATTTGTTTTTCTTTTTCTGACTTACTTCTATGAGTGTGACTTGTATCTGATATGATTTCTTGGAAGAGAGCATGTGGTAGTGAGTGGGACCCCTAAGCAGGTGGACATGAGTGCCAGGGGGACTGACGGGTGTGTATGAGGGTGGTGTGAGTGACTGCAGCTGAGAGCGGGGCAGAGAGGGACTGTAGAGAAAGGACTGGACACCCCTGGGCCGGGTGCACTGAGAGGACACACAGTCTCAACAGCCGGGGTTGTTTCTAATGAATCCATGTCCCTGAAGAAGCTCCTGCCCCCCTTAATCATCCACAGAGAGCATTCTGGCTACAGATTGGCCTCTTCTCTTTCTGCCCTGGGGCAGGAGACAGATTTCCTGTACCTGAGTGTGGCAACAGGGCCACACCCATGTTCCTGTCAGTTGCTATCAGTCAGCCATGCGTCCACCAGACTTGATTATCAGCTTCAAGGGTTCCTGGGGGAGGGGAGGCTTCACCTGGGCCCGCCTGGGGCAGAGGAGTTGGGAGGCTCCCTGCGCTGCTGGGAGGCTGTAGCCTGGGTCTAAGCCTTGCCCTGCACTGACTCCCAGTGTGACCTGACACGGGGATCTGCCAGCCTCACTGGGCAGAGGGTGTGGCTTGGAGGAGGACAGGGGTTGGGGTGGCCAAGGGTCAACCTCCTCCCAGCTCGGCCTCTGGGGGGCATCTGAGGTCAGTATCTTGCCCCTTTGAGTGCCCTGGTTGTGTCCCGGCCCTGGGAGTACTCTCACTCTGTCCGTTTTGGAGTTGAAGGCCAGAGACGGCCAGGGCGAGGCTGGAGCCACATGTCCCTAGTGAGGCGAGTGCTGGGCCTAGGTTATCCTCTGTGCCCCTGGGTCATGTTTCTGGTTACCCTTTCCCTGGGTGGTAAGGGAATTTTAACACAACTGAAACAAAAAAAGAAAAGCCAGCCTCGCTTTGTTCTTGTACCCATTTCTCTCTCCCCAAGGCCTGGGAAGTGAACAAAGGGACTAACTGTGTGACTGCCTACCTGGCAGACTGTGAGGCTCAGCTGTGCCAGGCCCCGAGGCAGGGCCTGCTCTACGGCGTCCCAGTGAGCCTCAAGGAGTGCTTCAGCTACAAGGTGTGCCCTGCCCCAGTCCCTGCCAGCCAGCTCTGCGTCCTGGGTCACCCTGGGCCCTCAGAGGAAGTACCAGGTCCAAAGGCCTTGAGAGGGCACCATGGGTACGGCCTGTGGGGTGGTGGTGGGAACAGCCCCTGTGCTGCCGAGGCGCCCCCGGCTCGTCAGCCACGTCCCTCTCGCCCATCCCTCCTTCTAGGGCCAGGACTCGACACTGGGCTTGAGCCTGCACGAGGGGGCGCCAGCAGAGCGCGACAGCGTGGTGGTGCAGGTGCTGAAGCGGCAGGGGGCCTTGCCCTTCGTGTACACCAATGTCCCCCAGTCCATGTTCAGGTTGTGTCTCGGGTGCGGGGTGGGGGCAGGGGCACCGGTGCCAGCGTGACATGGGCTGACCCCTTTCTGCTTCCTCCAGCTATGACTGTGGTAACCCCCTCTTTGGCCAGACCGTGAACCCATGGAAGTCTTCCAAGAGCCCAGGTGGCTCCTCAGGGGGTGAGGGGGCCCTCATTGCGGCTGGGGGCTCCCCACTGGGCTTAGGCACCGACATCGGAGGAAGCATTCGCTTTCCCTCTGCCTTCTGTGGCATCTGCGGCCTCAAACCCACAGGGAACCGCATCAGGTATGGTGTAGGTGGTCGGGGGAGGGAGCTTCTGAGTCTCTCGCTGTGTGACCTTGGCCTAGCTTCCCACCTCTCTGGGCTCCAGGCAGGGATTCCCTGACTGGGGTTTTGCTGGGAGGTAGTGTCGCAGCACCACAGTCCTTGGTTCCTAGTTTCCAAAGTGGTGAGAGAGTTGGGAGCTGCTGTATGGATGTGGGGTTGGGGAGAGGATGGCCATTTCCCATTGCCAACATCTTGTGTTTCTTATCCAGCAAGAGTGGCCTGAAGGGCTGTGTCTATGGACAGGTAGCAGGTGAGGTCTGTGGTTCCCTCTATGCCCTGGAGGAGGGGGGTCTGCCTGATCTGCCTCTGCCCCTGCCTCTCCTTGGGGCAGTGTTGGGCCCCCAGGCCACTCTAGGTCTGAGTTCCTGCGCCTTGTCCCTGTTCACACTACGGGCCACGGCCCAGTCCTTGCTTGGACCTGGCCCCAGAGCTCCTTGGGGCTGGGTGATCTCTCTCTCCTCCCCTCCCTGCCCCACAGTACAGCTCTCGGTCGGCCCCATGGCCCGGGACGTGGAGAGCCTGGCGCTGTGCCTGCGAGCACTGCTGTGTGAGGACATGTTCCACCTGGACCCCTCCGTGCCCCCCCTGCCCTTCAGGGAGGAGGTGAGCCGGGGTGGGGGTGGGCATGGGGTGGATTCAGGTTTCACTGGTGCTGCTGAGCCCAGAGAGCACTCCCCGCATTGCAGCAGGACTTGGAGGCCCTGTCTCCTGAAAACCACCCCGGCAGGGCCGGGGGTGGGGTGGGGTGAGGGGGGTGAGCGGCGGGGTGGGGGGGGGGGGGGGGGGGGGCGGTGTGTGTGTCTGAGGCCAGCAGCAGCGCCTCTTCAGACAGCCACCAGATGGCGCCCTTGCCTGCATTTGGAAACCTTGAGGCTTTCAAATTGGTGGGCTGGGAGCCAGAGCTGAGGAAAGGCCCACCTTCCGGCCCAGCCTGGGGGCTGTCACTGCAGAACAGGAGTGGCCTCGAGGCTAAGAACAGCTTGAGAGAGCACTCCTGTACCTTATCTGTGTTTGATCAGCCTTTCCTATAGTATTCATGTCCCTATCCCCAGCCTCCAGAGGGATGCTTGGCGTGTAGGCTGAGTGAGTTAAGGACAGTTAAAAGCGGAGCTGTCTCCCTCCCAGAGAAGGCTGGGATCTGTGGGCAGTGTCAGATGCTGGCTCCCCAAAATATCATCAAAACAGCCTGTTGATCAGATAAGGCTGAGTTTAATGCTTTCTGTGGTGAGGGGGAGTGCTGCCTCCACAGAGCCTTAGCAGCGTGGGGGAGGGGTGCGAAGTTAGGATGTTGAAGTTGGTTTCAGGTGGATATTTCAGTGTGGGGCATTGGTTAGGATTGGGTACAGATCATGATGTAATAGGTTAGGACTGGTGGATACAGCAAGGTGAGGATTCTGAGGAGAGGGGTTCAAGGAGTCTTAGGGGATAAGCTGTCATTTGGTGCTTCTATTGAAGAATTGACGGGTCTTTTAAGAATGACTGATAAAGTTATCTGTACTTTATGTACAACACTTTCAGGAGTAGTCAAGTTAGATCGATGTGGGCAGTGGAATAGTAAAGCCATGTTAATGTAGACAGTAAGCTGCCTGTGTGGTGTAAGCGCCATTTCTCAGCGGTCTGGCATTTCTCCCTACAGACCTCTTGCCCTCACCCAGCCCAGGTTGCCTTGGAAGGGCTGAAGGCGCTGGGGCAGGCAGGAGATCGGGGCTGGGGATGGGGTGAGCTACCCTTCCTCAGCAGAGGAGATGTTCTAAGTGAAACCAGTCGTTCAAGAGCCCCTTCCTGAGAGGTGGGGAGGAGGTGAGGCTCCTGTCCTGAGGTCTGGAACGATCTATTACAGGAGCCAGGACTAGCATTCTGGAAACAGGCTGTGGAGAGCCTCGGCTCAGGACGCGGGATACCTGGCTTCCTGACCTAGTCTTGTAGCTCTGCCCTGACAAGTGGCCTTGGCTGAGTCCCCGCTCCACTCTGGGCCTATCTCCCTATCTAGACCTGAAGCTTCAGTTTCCTCGTAGGACCAGTGGGAATCCTCATTCTTGCTCTGCCCACCTGCAAAGTCATTGTGAAGGTGTTTTGTGAAGGGGTCATATGCAGAAGGGGCTGGCCTCACTGGCAGGCAGTTTTCGGGGGATCTAGGGTGCAGCCTCAAAGCTGCGTCTGGGGTTGAGTAGCTGCTCTGAGCTCTGGGAGCCCTGCTTGGGGCCACCCTGTCCTGACCTGACTCTGACTCCTGTGTGTTGCCCCCAGGTCTACACAAGCTCTCAGCCCCTGCGTGTGGGGTATTATGAGACTGACAACTATACCATGCCCACCCCGGCCATGACACGGGCCCTGCTGGAGACCAAGAAGAGACTCGAAGCTGCTGGCCACACGGTATGGAGGTGGGAGCCCACAAGTCCTGGCATCGCCCCTCTTTCAGGGAAGCCTTCCTGGTACCCATGGCTGCCACCCATCCCTGGCATCCTTCCACCCTGATTGTTTTGTGGTTGGGGATGGGAATTTGGTCCCTGGGGGACCAGTAAAAAGGGGCTGATCAGAAGTATTGGGGTACATGATTGATGGTGAGCTCACCCCTGTGCTGGGGATGTGTGAGCTGCGAGCTGCATTGGGAGGGCCTCGTCGACCACAGACAGGGGTGCACAGCTGTCCAGAGGTTCCTGGGGCTCTGAGATGGCAGGTTTGGGGATGTTCATCTGAGACAGGCTTATGTGTGGCTCCAGACTTCTCTCCTGATGTGCATCTTACAGGGAGTTATCACGGGCCAACAAGGCCACCGTTGCGGCTCCAGTGAGGGTACCGTGAAGGCAGGGTTGGTCCAGTCCATGCTCGGGGCTGCCTGGGTAGCATGGGGGTGGTGGGACCCAAGGGTTTCTAGGTCTGGGAGTCTTACACTCCTCAGTCCCTGCAGCTGGTTCCCTTCCTGCCAAGCAACATACCCCATGCTCTGGAGACCCTGTCGACGGGTGGGCTGTTCAGTGACGGTGGCAAGAGCTTCCTACAGAACTTGTGAGTGATGTTGGGTTTGGAGGTCTGTGGTGGGATCAGGACATGGGGAGACCCAGGAAGAGCAGCTGGGTGCTGTAACCCCAGGGACAGGCCAGGCTGGGGGAAGATGGAGGACAGGCCTCAGCTGAATGTGAAGAAGGTCTGAGCATTCTGGGTAGGGACCTTGCCACCCCTCTGACTGCAGGCTGAGCCTGGCACTACCTTGCCAGGGAGTCTTTGGAAAGGTGCCAGCACAGGGGGAGGCTGGATTGAGCATCCATGGCCTCATCCTGAGCTGAGCTGGCTGGGAGGTAGGAGGTAAGCAGGGAGTTGCCTATCTGTTTGGGAAAGATTGAGAGACAAGGGTAGGGTCAAATAGGAGGGCAGGGGTGTAGACGTCATTCTGTGACTCCGGGCTCTTCTCACTTGAGCCACGTCTTTCTCTTTTGAGTAGGACCTCAGTTTTCTTGTCTGTAAAGTCAGTAGGTTGGACCAGACCCGCTTTAAGGGACTTCGCAGAGCTCACGTTTAGAGAAGCTGGTTCCACTTGGGTGTTTTCAGTCCTTAAAGGTTGACACGGGCAGAGGACAGGCCTGTGAAGGTGCCTCCTGGGGACATGCCCAGACTGACTGGACTTCCCGCAGTAGCTAAGTATGGTTCAGGCTTTAGCGGAAGGGGCTACCCCTCACTCTGGCCCTGGGAATGAGGCTCCAGGATCAGCCGCCTGAGACCTTTCCCTGAGATCTAGAGCAGAGACAGCCTCAGAGACAAGGATCACGGTGCCCACTCAAGACTGCGCCACTCGTGCCTCCAGGCCAATATCCGCCTCCACGGGGGGAATGCCCTCAGTATCACGCCCTGGCCAGGGAGATGCCGCCTGTAGTTCTTATTGCTTTAAGCTGAGTTTGCCAGGGAGGGAGACGGGGAGTCCTGCCTTGGGGAGCTCCATGGGTGTGGGTGGAGCCCAGGCATCCCAAAGGGTCTGCAGACACAAGCCACATGTTGGGAAGGAGAGGCTGAGATGAAGGGGCTGGAGAGCGTGACTGCCAGAGTCTGGTGAGGAGGGAGGTAGGCAGAGCCACTGAGTAGAGACCGGGGGATGCAGTAGGTGGGGGTGAGCCAGGAGGGATGCCTGGGGTGGATGTGTCTGGACTGGACCCTTTGTCTCCCAGCAAAGGTGATTTCGTGGACCCCTGCTTGGGAAACCTGATCTCAGCTCTGAGGCTGCCCAGCTGGCTTAAAGGACTGCTGGCTTTCATGCTAAGGCCTCTGGTGAGGGCATAAGGAATAGAAGGGGTGGGCTGGGCCGGGCGGGAGCCTCTGGGGCTCTTCCCCCCTCCCCTTAGCCTCCTCTTCTTCTCAGCCCTCACCTAGTCTCTTCTCCTCCCCCCATGCCCTTTGATCTTCACCTAACATGCATGCTGAAAGGGGTGCTGACCCGGGACATGGGGGGAGAGACAGAGGGAGGAAGCACAGGCAGCTTGGCCTGAAGATTATTGCCACACCTGGCCCAAAGCTGAGTCACTGACTGTGTCTGTCCTTCTGCAGCTCCCAAGGTTGTCAGCCTTTCTCAACAGCATGAAGTCTCGGTAAGAATGTTTCCCATGCCCAGATGCTTGCCCCCCTTTTCCCCTGACCTGGGTCCAAGTGCTTTCCAACAGGAAAAGATGAGAGAAGTAGCTTCTGAGGCTGGAAAGGGCGCAGGCAGGGTGGCAACTTCTGTGGCTTTCGAGGAGGATCTTGAAGATGTCTTAGCAAGGTCCAGGAAAGCCTGGAGAGCAAGGACCTGAGGGAGAGCACAGGATAGGAGGGGGTGGAGAGGAGAAGATTGCCCTGGCTGGGCACGGGTGGAAAGGCCCGGGAAGGAGCTGGCGGGAGGCAGGAGCGGGGGTGCTGGGAACCCATGAGGGTACTACTCTTAGCGATCAGACTGCATCGCGCCCTCTCTTGCCTGCCCCTCAGTGGCTCATGCCGGAAAAGCTGGGAATAAGTTGTCCCATTCTCAGGCCCTGACATCTTGTGGACTTGCTCCTTCTGTTACCACCAGGCATTTAGGACCTTGGGTGGCTCTGGCCTCTCCTGTGTCCTGAGGGTAGCAAGGAGTCAGGCCTAGGTCCCTCCTGGGGACTCAGTGGGACATGAACTTAGGGATTAGAACTTCTGCCCTGCTTTACTTTCCTCTCAGAGTGCCCTGGAATTGAGAAGGGTCCAAGGAGGAATGAGATCTGGGAGGTGTTGAGAGTAGGGGTCTGATGTTGTTAATCCCCATGGCTGGGATCATCATGGTCAGTGACCTCATTCCCTCTGTCCAGGTCAGCTGGAAAACTCTGGGAACTGCACCACGAGATTGAGGTGAGGCCAGAGCCTCTCGACTAGAGTAGGGCGGGTGGGGGGTGGAGTTGGACAGGGCACCTGCGTTGGGGTCTCTCGGCCACTGGTCCCCTGGAGTGGCCCATCGTTCTCCCTTCCACTCCCTGACAGCTTGAGGACTGCTGTCAGACCCTCACTTGCCCGGAGACCCGTCCTAGGGGCCTGGGTCAGCCTGGGGCTCCTGTCCTGGATACCTCTTTTGCCACTCTGATGCTGCCTGTAGCCAGCACTCCATGGCCCTGCCCTGGTAGGAAGAGTGGTGTCTGTGGTTCTGTGGAGCAGGTGATGCCCCCTGAGAGCAGCCCTGTCTGAATACCCCTGAGGTCCTCCATCCCACTGTGGTTCAGTTCACGTCTGGGGCAGGTCCAGGGCTAGAGTCACCCCAGCCACAGTGCCTGCGTTGGAGAGTCCATGTAACGGGCTGTGTCTGAGTGCTTCCCCTGGTGTACGGGTATCCTCCCCAGGTGTACCGTCACTCTGTGATTGCCCAGTGGAGAGCAGTGGAGCTGGATGTGCTGCTCACCCCCATGCTGGGCCCTGCTCTAGACTTGAATGGCCCAGGCAAGGCCACAGGTGAGGCTTGCAGCCCCGTCACAGCCCTGTCACCTGTCTCTTCTCTTCTATGAGTTCAGCCCTTTGCCTGGTGGGGCTGCTGGGAGGTAGAAGAAGAGGAACCCTGCGGGTGGGTTGCCCACCTGGGGGAGGACTCCACCCTTGAGAGGCTCACAGTCTGGTTGGCTGGAGAGATGGGAGTCATGTGGGACCCTGTCCTCAGCACTGTTCAAGCTGGAGATCATGTTACAGAGTCTGTGGTTTTGGGAGGTGGTGTTTGAAGCCCAGGTGGGATTTAGATAAACCAGGAAGACAGCAGCAACAGTCCAGGCGGGGGGAAGCTGCAGGGAAGAGGCACAGGGCAAGCTCGTCAGCGCGCTCTCCAGCCCGCCCTGAATCTGGATTCCCGGGCTCTGTCACCCTCACTCAAGTCTCAGCCCTAGGAGAGAACCTCTCCCTGTCTGTGGATGCAGGGTGCCATTTCACAGGGTGGAAGACTGGGGCTCAGAGAGGACAGTTGTCATGGAAGGTCACCCAACCTGCTCCAGCCACATGTGCTGTGTCTCAGGGGCCATCAGCTACACTCTGCTCTACAACTGCCTGGACTTCCCTGCGGGGGTAGTGCCTGTCACCACGGTGACCGCCGAGGACGAGGCCCAGTTGGAGCATTACAAGGGCTGCTTTGGGGATATCTGGGACAAGGCGCTGCAGAAGGTAAGTCCCTTTTCCCCTGGACTCACACCTGCTCCCCTTCCTCTAGTGGAGGAGACAGTATAAACACGAGTATCCTTGTCTGTCTGTCTTGAGAGCTTGTTTGGAGGTTCTAGCAGGGGAGCACAGCTGCTCGTATACCCTTGACCGAAGAACGGACCTCCTCTATCGGGGAAGGTCGTCCTCTTCGACCGAGCACGCAGCTTTGGGAGGGACGCACATGGAGTGGTGAGGGAGGAAGGGGACACCCGCCTAGCCAGCCAGATCAGCCCAGTCAACCCTGGCGATCAATGGGGTGACAGGTGTCACAGCCAGATCGCCCTCATGTCCTCTCGTCTGTCTTTCTTAACTCAAGACCCCTAAAGACTGCGGGCTGGCCCTGCCGTGCTGCCCTCCTCTCCAGCTGGGGTGCTTCCTGGGCCCAGGGTGGGGTCCTGCCTCGACACCTCCCGTCCTGACGCCTGTGTCCCCTGCAGGCCGTGAAGAAGAGCGTGGGCCTGCCTGTGGCTGTGCAGTGCGTGGCTCTGCCGTGGCAGGAAGAGCTGTGTCTGCGGTTCATGCGGGAGGTGGAGCGACTGATGACCCCTGAGAGGCAGCCATGCTGACTGCCGCCGCCTGGCCCTAGAGGACCTGAGACCCACTGGAGCCACGCCCAGCGTAGTCAGGGCACAGCTGCCACCCTGGAGGAAGTGTTCAGCCTGGGGCAGAGGCTTCCAAGTCCCTCCCCCTCGCCCCTGCAAGAAGCCCAAACCCACTGAGTCTGGACCTCGCTCCCTCCCCTGTTCCCTTCCCTGACACCCCCAACGTGGCAGCCGGTGGGCATGACATGGGCGAAGGCCCGCTAACAGTCAAGAATCGGTTCCTATACCACAAAAAAAACAAAGAAACAAAAAAAAGAATCGGTTCCTGGTCTGTGTCCTTTCTGGAAGTCATCGTTAGGGCACTGGGGGTTGGAGACCCGACCTTCTAGAACCTGACTCCAGCCACGTCAGTCTCCTGCTCCAAAACCTCCTCTGGTTCCTGTCACTCACAGGATGGACACAAGCTTCTCAGGATAGGCGATGCGGCCCCAGCACTTCACACCCACCCCTCCCACCCGCCTTAGACTAAGCCCTACTTTGTTAGACATTGTCTTTTCTCTTCTCCTTGCCTCTGCTGGGAATGCCCTTTCTGCTCCCCTACCATTAAATCCTCTGAGGCCCAGCTCAGATCCCTCTTTCTCCTTCTGAGCCCTGGAGTAGGTGGGCTGTTTCCTCCCAGTCTGCGCTGTGTGGAGGGCGTCCGCGGGTGGGTCACCGCCCTTAGCACACTGGCTCTCCTTGACGGCAGGGATACTATTTCTACGTCTTTGTCCTCAGTGGCCAGCACAGGGCCGGGCACAGGGCAGCGGGGAGTCTGGGATGCTGCTGGGGAGAGGAACCCGCAGGACTGAGGCGAGCACAAGACAAGGTGATCTAGCAGAGAGTGCTCGCAGGGCCAGCCCAGCACTGGAGTGTTCTGGGAAGGCTCCCTGAAGGAGGAGTGCCTGTGTTGAGTATAGAAGGTCCCCAGGGCTGAGATAGGGGACGAGGACATCCCAGGGAGAAGGAACAGTACTACAGCCAGAATGGGCACAGGAGGAGCAGCAGAGATGTAGGTGGGGGTCAGATCAAGGTGGACTTGGAGGGCCAGTTCAGGAACTTGAATCCAGCCTCAAGGGCAATGGGGCACTCTTGAAGGATCAGACAGGTGTGGCGAGGAGAGTAGACTGGAGGGGCAGAGCCTGGAGAGGGTAACGAGGCTGCTCCATGATCCTAATGTGGGGAAGGGGGCCTGGGGCCTGAGCTAGGGCCGTGGCCCAGGTAGAGAGAGGGGTGATTTGGGACTTGACAGTTGAGGGGTGGAAGTGAGCTGTCTCAGCTCAGGCTCAGCTCTGCCCAGTTTGCCAGCTCACCTCTTACTGGACTGCTTTGCCTGGTGGGTGGAGGGTTAGCTCGTCTGGATGCCTGGGGGGCTTCTCGGGTCCACCAGCACAGCTGCCTCGCTCCTCCCTGGCTCCAGCCCTAACTCGCCCGCTTGCTGTCGGACATGTTTCTGGCCTGAGCCCTCGGGCAGGGTGGGCCCCTGGCTCCCACCTGACCTCCTTCGTATTCTTTTCAGGGCAAGCTGCTTTCCCAAGGCTCCCTTCTCCACCGAGATTTTCCTGCTTCTCCAGTGGTGCTTTCCCCTCCAAGTCACGTGCCCGGTGGCACCTGTACTTTCTGCCAGTGGCGTCCCTGCCTCAGTGGGGCAAGTCTCAGGGCAGACGTGAGGCCCTACCTTGGGGCTGACTAGAAGGCCCGACCCACATGGATGCCTAGACTGGGGTGACCAGGCGGCTGCTGCACTTTGCCCTGATTTCTCTTAACTGCTCCGTCACTTTGCCTCATATCCTTCCATAAAGCCACGTGCCATCTGCCCCAGCTTCCTGCCCCATTTCTCTCTTTGGTTAATGATAGCCTCGTGCTTTTAGACACGAGGCTGCCATGGGGGGCCACCTCTCCTCCATTCCTTCCCTGGTTTATTGATGTCACCCTTGGACCCCAGCAGGGCCGTGCCCAGCCCCGTGCTTAGTGGTGCCGGAGTTCCGCCAAGCCTGGCTCCCATCCCTGAGACGCTCCTGGGCCTGTGTGTGTGGAGGATGCAAGCACGTTGGCTCTCTTGTGATCAGGGCGGGGGGGAAAGGGTAGACGATGGGGCCAAATGCTGCTGAGGGCGGCGGAGGTGGTCAGCGAGGAAGCGAGTACCCCCTGCGTTCCACCTCCACCTCTACACTGTGGTGCAAGCCACCTGCCTCTCACCTGGACACTAATAACCAAACTGGGCTCCCTGCTTCCTTCCTCACCTGTCCGCCAATCCATTCTCCATACAGCAGCCAGAGTGATCATTTAAAAGTGTATATCAGGGCTTCCCTGGTGGCGCAGTGGTTGAGAGTCCGTCTGCCGATGCAGGGGACACGGGTTCGTGCCCCGGTCCGGGAAGATCCCACATGCCGCAGAGCGGCTAGGCCCGTGAGCCATGGCCGCTGAGCCTGCGCGTCCAGAGCCTGTGCACCGCAACGGGAGAGGCCACAACAGTGAGAGGCCCGTGTACCGCAAAAAAAAAAAAAAAAAATGTGTATACCAGATTGAGCCACCTCTCTCCTTAAGACTTTGCAATGGCTTCCCAATCACCCGCGAATAAAATCCAGTCTCCTCCTCGAGTCCTGCGAGGCCCCACGTGACGTGGCCCTTGCCCACGCCCCTGCCTCCTCCTGGATGTCTCTTCCTCTCGTTCATCGTGCGTGCTCCAGCCACATGAACACCCTTTGGTCTCTCGATCGTCTCAAGCTGGTCCCTGCTCCAGAGCTTCTGTGTTAGCTGTCCCTCTGTTTGGAACACTTGGCGCCAATGTCACCTTCCCTGATCACCCACTTGGCAAACAGTCCCCCTTGACACCTTCTAACATGCCACCCTTTGTACTTTATAGCATTATCACTATCTGGAATCATACTTTTTTTTTTTTGTCTCCACTCAGGCAAGCTTCCTGAGAGCTGCACTTTGTCGTGCTCAGCCTGATACTCAGCATGTGGAATAGTGCCTAGAAGGTGCTTAGTTAATTTAGTGAACATTAACTGAGCATCTACTAGGGACCAGGTGCTGTATTGGATGCTGGGACTGCAGTGATGAATGCGGCAGACTGGGGTCTTGTCCTCTCGGAGCTGCATTCATTCTGGAGGATATTCGTTGACTGAAAGGAGGCAGGGAGGCAGGCAGGTGTGATAGTAAAGATGTACGTATTTAATGAATGAAGTGATAAGGTGACTTTTAATCAGGACAAGGGGGGAAGGACATTCTGAATATGAGCCGTCTACCTTCTGGGCACTTTATAGTGATCATGTCATTTTATCCTATTCACCCTGTTGTGGGTGTTTGTGTCCCCATTTTACAGAAAGGTCCCACAGCTAGAAGCAGGGGAGTTAGAATCGATATCTGATTCATTCGATGTCAGAGCCTCTGCCTGGTGTCCCATGATGCTGAGGCACAGAGGAGTGACGGCATAAGCCAGCCGCTGCCTCTTCCTGTCTGACCAGTCCAGCCGCCTCAATACCCTCTAAGTCACGTGGCTTCTTCCTGGTCTCAGCCTTTCCCCAACTCCCCGGTCCACTGCCATAGCTTCTTGCCTGGCCTCCCTCTTCAGACTGGTCTTCTCCAACTGTCTTTCATATGGCAGATGAGTGACATTTCTAAAAACAAATCTCATCACGCCTAAAACCTTGTGCTCAGTCCAGACTCCTGGCTCTGACCCACAAGGCCACGCTTCACTTGGCCATGCAACTGACCACTCTGATTCCTCCCCTTCCTTGGGGCCCTGAGATGGTGCTCAGGGCACTGCACACCTCCCACCTCCATGCCCTTTGCTCACTGTGCTTGCTCTGCCTGGAATGCTCTTCCTCATGTCTCCACCTGAAGATCCCCGCCCCCCACATCCCACTATTCCAAGGTAAGGGTGGTCCTCCTCTTACAACTGTCAGGCTGTGTTGAAAGGGCTTCTTGGTGCTTCTGTCCATGCTTGAAAGCAGGGGCTGTGTCTTAATAATAGAATCCAATATTGATTAGGTTGTGGAGTTGATAATCCATTATCTCATTGGAAAAAGTAGGCATTATTACTTCCATTTTATAGATGAGGGAACTGAAGTTTAGAAAGGCGTTGCTGATTTGTCCAAGGACAAAGACTTGAACAGAGACGAGTTGAATCCACATGCCCGACTCCAGACTTAGTGTACTTTCCTTGTCTGCACAATCATCCCGCGGACAGGCAGTAAACACCCTCTGGGTGCCAGGTTCTGTGCTAAGTGACCACGACACTGGAGACAGAAGCCACGTCCAGGCGCTGTGCTCCTCCACTGGTGTCTGTTCACAGAAGCGTTGTGATATTGGAGTTTAGGACACACAGAGGACCTGCCACTTGTCCCTAAAAAGCACCATCTTTTAGGGTCATCCCAGAGCTCCAGCTTGTTGAGAGCCTTTGGGATCCTGGCTCTGCTGTCCACTCTTTCTGCTCTGCCTCCCAGCTTTGTCCATCCACAGATCTGAGCACTGGACCTCTCCAACCTCATCCAAGTCACCAATAAACAATCAGATCAGAGCCATGGAAAGAGCCGTGGGGTGTGTCACCCCAGACCACCTGCTCAGACAACCTGGGCGTAAGAGATTGCCACATAATTAAGTCTCATCAAGTCTTGAGCGTCCCAGCCATCCTTGGCGAGACCTCCCAGGTTTCCTACACATAGATTGGGAGCGGCGGCCCTCTGCACCTGAGGCAGATGAAGTCACCTAGGGTCAGGGCCGTGTGGGGTTTGCCCTTGCATGTCCGGCACCCAGCATGGCGCCTGGTACTCAGTGGGTACCCAGTGAAGGCTTGTTGAATGGAGGAGTGGGTGATTTGTTATTAGTGAACCCTTTTGGCCCCACCTGTTACTTCCTTCTCATCCTAAACAGGAATGTCCTGGTCAGCCCCTGTCCTCAGCCCTTTTCACATTTATCTTAACTACTGCTCTGACCTTGATTTGTGCCCATAAGGACAAATAGCTCCCAGTATATATTCAACCTGTGACTTTCTCCTCGTCTGCAAG